GTGAGGTTGATGGGTTACATGGTATGGATGGATGGATGGAAATGTCACAATGAAATCCCCTTGTACAATTAATCTATGCTAATAAAAGTTAAATAAAAAGTGAAAGTTTCTTTAATCACAGCTAATACATTATGCAATTTTTCAAAAGAAATGTTTTCTACAAGAAACAGTCTTGCAAAAAAAAGTCAGGCTTGAAGTGAATACAAGTGAAGGGGTAAATATTAAGATATTGTTAACATCTCATCACAAATGAAGACAATACCTAGCTCTGGAAAAGGGGAGGTAGGACTGAGCCACCAATACCTACTAGGTCTAAAGCACTCAGATCCAAGTTGAAAGCCAGAAAGAAAGCAAAGAAACAAGGCAAACTATAAAAGCATACCTGGCCAAGAATTGTAGCTGTGGCTACTACACACCTAGTGCCAAATAGTCAAGAAGCCCACATGCCAGAGTTGTTCTCCCAGAGATTAGCAGCCTGGTTTAAAGAAGACCATCTTCAAGGTGCAAGTCCATCCTGCATCTCTCACAAATTTTAAAAGCTTATTTCCCAAGACCTATTTTAATGTATGAAAAGAGGGCTCACTCTCTCAGTGGCAAATCCAGGGGTTAAGGAAAACAATGGAGGGAAGTTACATTCAGGGAGCAGAACCAGGGTCTAACTGGAAGAGAGGCATCCTCAATTTTTTGGCTTACTCGATTAGCATCTATTGTGCTAGAAAGATACTGACTTGTTTCATATCTTCATTCTAAATGAATGACCTGGCATCACCACATGGTAGATTAAGGTGGGTTTTCTTCTGATAGAGATAAGGAATCTGACTCTAATGAATGCTGTGACTAGAAGAGTCTTGAAGGTTGATTCCCTTGAGGAAAAGGTGAGGGAATTCTGCCCATGGGAAGACAGTGAACCAAACATTTGGTGAACAGAAAGGGAGACTGTTAGTCATCAGTGTTCCCCCAAATACTCCTGGCAAGCCCTTCCAGACATCTGGCAGAGTTCAGAGAGATTTCACTTCAGGCATGGCCCTGTGACTTGTTTTGGCCAGTGGTCTATGGGCAGAGATGGTGTGCACCTCTTCCAGGTGGATGTGCCTGGGAGCCAGGCAATGATGTGCTAAGTTCTCCTCACCTGTCCCCCATCCACAATAATTGGAACAATCACGTGACCAGAGTAAGCTCCTCAGCCAGAGTCTTTGTTGTTGGTGGTAGTGGTGGTGGTCATGGGGTGTGAATTCCAGGCCTAGGCACTGTCCCTGAGCTCTTCAGCTCAAGGCTAGCACTACTACCACTTGAGCCAGAGCACTACTTCCAGCTTTTTTCTGTTTATGTGGTGCTGAGGAATCGAACCCAGGACCTCATGCATGCAAGGCAAGCACTCTACCACTGAGCCACCTTCCCAGCCCCCCTCAGCCAGAGTCTTTAAGTGAATACCGGAAGCAGAGCTCTCTGCTGATCCACAATGAACATGTAATACAGCATTTATCAGGAGCAAGAAATAAACAATATTACGGAGACTGCAATGTTAAGGATGCTCCTTAGGGAGGCATAATACAGCCTTTCCTGACAGAGTTGGGAGTGAGATATGATGCTAAAGTTAGCAGGAGCTAGATTGTGAAGAAATGAAGGAGGAATAATAATAATAATGAGGGAATAATGAGGGAAGGAAGGAAGGAAGACTCTCCCAGGCAAAGAAATCAAAATTCTGTCCCGATTGTAAAGAGAAGCAGTGAAGGCTTCCAAGCAGGGGCGTTAACATGAACAGATTTGTTACGTTTTGGATGAAATATGCTATTTCTCAACCTAAGGAGAAATTCAGCCTATTAAACCACACAAGGCAAAGGAGCACACAGAACTCTAAGGCGAAAGATGTATATTTACACAAAATCCTAGATCTTGAAGTATCTAAATACAGGAGCTCTAAAAAAACAAATGTACCAATACTTGGGCAAAAACATTTCTTCTATGCCACCAGGGTCATTTCATCTACAGATAACTATTACTTTACAAGAAAGTTTGCCAGGATGGAGAAAAAGGCAAGAGAATGTAGCACAAACTTGAGGTCAATTTCCAGCTGCCTGTGTGACCTAAGCAGGACACTAGACCTTTCTAGGTCTATTTCCTTATAGGCCAACTCTGGACAATAATACATGCCTCTCAAGAGAGAAAACAGTATTTAAAAATTGCTTAATACTTATTACCTTACTTATGTAACTGTAACCCCTCTGTTCATCACCTTTTCAATATATATTTATTTTAAAAGACTTCTAACCAGAAAAAAAAATTGCTTAAAATACCTGGCAGATAGTAGCTGTTTCATGTATGAAATTTATTTTTGTTACTGTTATCATAAAACATTATTTAGAATACCAGCTCAGTGATTACAACAGGTAATTATTCAGAGAACAGAGATACGGGCATGTTCCCTTCTTGGGGAAAGTAACTGGATCTCTAGATCCCTACCCCACCCCCACCCCTGCTCCGTGCCAGGCTGGCAGTAGCCAGGTATTCTTTGCTGCATGAGTGAAAAGCGAGCGAAGTGCCTGGAGTGAAGAAAAGTTGGATGATGTCCCACTGATACCAGCTGCTGTCGGTTTCTGAACTCTCAAAACCACAAATACCCGAAGGCCTCCAGGCTACAGACCCATGGCTGAATTCTCCCCACTCCCCACCCCCAAGTTTAGAGGCAGCAAGGTCTGAATTGAAACCTGGGAACTTTTACATGGCTGCAGATCCAACCTCAGAGTCCCCGGTGGAGAGAGAAGATGGGGGGAAAGGTGGACTTCTAATCCTTTTCCTCCCAACCCTTCTTTCCTCCTCCTCCTCCGAGAGAGGAGGTACCACCGACCTAGCCAAGTCACACTCCTACCCTGGCAACTCTGAGGAAGGGCAGGAGAGGGACTGTCTGGTGACCACCTCTCAAGTCCCAAGTGATGGCTCTCGCTGGCACCAACTGCGCGTAGATGGGGCCAATGAAGCGCCCAAAAGTTTCGTGATTTGCACGCTGCGCACCGTGGCGCCCGCACACCCGGGCTCCAGTGTTCTTGCAAGCACACAGGCTAGTCCTAGGAGGCTGGGGAGGAGGAAACGACAGGATCTCGGCGAAGAAGTCACTTCCATGTGTCTAGCGCTTCCTAGAGGCCGCGCGGGGTGTGCGCCCACCACCCGGCGGGGAGTGGCGAGCGCAGCTGGCTCTCAGACTCGGGACTCCCGGTTCCACTGCGTGACTCGGGGCCAGTCTGCTGCTCTCAGGATTGTTTTCCCGGAAGCAAGCCGGGGCGGGAGGGGAGTGAGTGTGTGCGTGTGTGCGCGCGCGTGCGCGCGTGGGGTGGTGTGCGGGGGCACCGGCGATCGCCACGGTTCCCCGAGTTTCAGACCACGACGTCTGGACGCTCAGTTCACCGAGACGTTTAGTCCCCCTCTCATCTCGCCCCCGGAGGCGAAGTTGTGAAGCCCTGCCCGCGTCTCCCCCGGCTCTCGGAACGCGCGGCCAGGGGCCCCCGGACTCCGCTGAGCCTCAGTTTCCAAATTTTACCATCACTCGGCGGCTTCCGGGATTGGCCACACGGCCGCGTGGACTCTGGACCAAGAAACCAACTTTTCGCGCGTCCACCATGTGGGGGGGGGGCTGTCTCCCAAGACTGTCCCCCAAACTTGGGCTCACTCCGGCGCCCGCCCCCTCCCCCGGACCTCCCGGGCCACCTTAAGCGCGGTGCGCCCGCCCCCCCGGAAGTGCGGGGGGAGCGCGGACCCAGCTCCCACCTCCCCGCTCCAGGCGCGGAAGACCCCGAGTCCACTCCGGGCCCGCGCCCTCTGCTCCCGACCTCCCGGGATTGGGGGGGCGTCCCCAAGTCCCTGCAACCGCGCGTCTCGAACTCGATCCCACCCGGGGCAGACACGGCGAGCGCCCGGCCGCTCGCGACAACCTCCGTCACTCGACAGACAAACCCCAAGACGTCAGCCCACAATGCACCGGGCGGGCCGGGAAAGACGCGCGGGGAGGGGACGGTGGCGGGGGGGGGGGGGGGGTGCGAGGGGGGGTGCGAGGGGCTCGAGCGGTGCGCGGGAGGGGGAGGGCGAGGAGGAGAAAAAAGGGCCCGACTGTGGGAGGGCAGCGGAGCATTACCTCATCCCGTGAGCCTCTGCGGGCCGGGAGAAGAATCTTCTAGGGTGGGGTCTCCATGGCGACGGGTGGGCCCGCCCCCCAGAGAGCGACGCGAGCCAATGGGAAGGCCTTGGGGTGACATCATGGGCTATTTTTAGGGGTTGACTGGTAGCAGATAAGTGTTGAGCTCGGGCTGGTTAAGGGCTCAGAGTTGCACTGAGTGTGGTTGAGTCGGCGAAGCGGGAGTGGAGGTGCGCGGACTCAGGCAGGCAGACAGACAGACAGACTCAGCCAGGAAGGCGGTGGAGTCCGACCTGCCCATCTGCCTTTCCTTGCCTTTTTCTCCTCGACTGCTGAGAGCCGGCGCCTGTGGCTCCCGCGCTGGTGTTTGGGGGAGCGCCTGAGGATCCCCTTCTCCTGTGACCCGCGGAGGACAGCCCCGCCGGCCGAGCGCCCGCGGACAGCGCGGAGAGCCCCCGGCGGGCCGGTGCGGAGACACCGCCGAGCGGCTGCAGCCGTCAGCAACTTTCCCGACCCGGAGGCACCGGGGCGAGGGGACAAGTGGCTCCGGGTCCCGGAGCGAACTTTTGCTCCGCCTTGTCTCCGGCGGCGCTCGAGAGAAGGCAGCCGCGAGCGGCCGAGGGGGAGACGAGACCCGAGCTCGGCGTGGCGCGCACCGGTTGCTGAACTTGGGCGAGCGCGAGCCGCGGTCGCCGCGCATCCCCCTCCCCCTTGCAGCGGAGGAGGGGACCGACGTCCGAGTCCCGGGGCGGGGGGGGGAGCGGCCGAGACCCGCCGCCGGCCGTCACCGCGGGGGGCTCGGCGCCCTGCAGCGCCGCGGGAGAGCCGCCGTCGCCGGGGGAGGCGCGATCGTCCGCGGGCTCCCGAGGATCCGGAGCGAACCCCGGAGCGCTCAGTGAGTGACCGCGACTTTTCAAAGCCCGGCCGCGCGCGCGCGCGAGTGAGCCAGCCAGCGAGCGGACAAGTAAGAGTGCGGGCGGCGTCTTAACCCTGTGCTCCCCGGGGCGAGCTGGGCCGGCGGGCGCGGGAAGGGGGAGGCCAGCCCGCGGGAGCGCGCGCGCTCAGACAAACTTTCCTGCCGAAGGAACCCGGGACCAGCGCGCTGTGGGGGCCCCGAAACTTCTGCCCACCGCCCAGGCTAACCCCGCGTGAAGTCACGGACTGTTCTATGACTGCAAAGATGGAAACGACCTTCTACGACGATGCCCTCAACGCCTCGTTCCTCCAGTCCGAGAGCGGCGCCTACGGCTACAGTAACCCCAAGATCCTGAAACAGAGCATGACCCTGAACCTGGCCGACCCCGTGGGCAGCCTGAAGCCGCACCTCCGGGCCAAGAACTCGGACCTGCTCACCTCGCCCGACGTGGGTCTGCTCAAGTTGGCGTCGCCCGAGCTGGAGCGCCTGATCATCCAATCCAGCAACGGGCACATCACCACCACGCCGACCCCCACCCAGTTCCTGTGCCCCAAGAACGTGACGGATGAGCAGGAAGGCTTCGCCGAGGGCTTCGTGCGCGCGCTGGCCGAACTGCACAGCCAGAACACGCTGCCCAGCGTCACGTCGGCGGCCCAGCCGGTCAGCGGGGCGGGCATGGTGGCCCCCGCGGTGGCCTCGGTGGCGGGCGGCAGCGGCAGCGGCGCTTTCGGCGCCGGCCTGCACAGCGAGCCGCCGGTCTACGCCAACCTCAGCAACTTCAATCCCGGCGCGCTGAGCGGCGGCGGCGGGGCGCCCTCCTACGGCGCGGCGGGCCTGGCCTTTCCCGCGCAGCCCCAGCAGCAGCCCCCGCCGCCGCCGCCGCAGCCGCAGCCGCACCACCTGCCCCAGCAGATCCCCGTGCAGCATCCGCGGCTGCAAGCCCTGAAGGAGGAGCCGCAGACGGTGCCCGAGATGCCCGGCGAGACGCCGCCCCTGTCCCCCATCGACATGGAGTCCCAGGAGCGGATCAAAGCGGAGAGGAAACGCATGAGGAACCGCATCGCCGCCTCCAAGTGCCGGAAAAGGAAGCTGGAGAGGATCGCCCGGCTGGAGGAAAAAGTGAAAACTTTGAAAGCGCAGAACTCGGAGCTGGCGTCCACGGCCAACATGCTCAGGGAACAGGTGGCACAGCTTAAACAGAAAGTCATGAACCACGTTAACAGCGGGTGCCAGCTCATGCTAACGCAGCAGTTGCAAACGTTTTGAGGAGAGACTCTCGGGACTTAGAGACAACGGAGAGCAAATAATAACAGAGACAGATTTGAGAACTTGACAGGTTGCGCCAGAGAGAGAGTGAGAGAGATAAGAGAGAGGTGTCCGAGGACTAAAGCCAAGGGTATCCAAGTTGGACTGGGCTGCGTCCTGACGGCGCCCCCAGTGTGCACGAGTGGGAAGGACTTGGCGCGCCTTGCCTGGGCACGCGGCCAGGGAGCTGCCGCCTGCGGGCTGCCCCGCTTTGCGGACGGGCAGTCCCCTGCGCGCGCGCACGCGCGCGCGCCCGAGCAGAAAGATTGACTTTAACATTGACCAAGAACTGCATGGACCTAACATTCGATCTCATTCAGTATTAAAGGGGGGCGGGGGGTTCAAACTGCAATAGAGACTGTAGATTGCTTCTGTAGTACTCCTTAAGAACACAAAGCGGGGAGGGTGGGGAGGGGGAGGCTGGAGGGAGGTGTATGGGGGCGAGGCTGCGCCCACCAATGAACTCCTGGCCTCCCTCGTCAACGGTGTATGTACATATACATATTTTTTTTAATTTGATGAAAGCTGATTACTGTCAATAAACAGCTTCCTGCCTTTGTAAGTTATTTCATGTTTGTTTGTTTGGGTGTCCTACCCAGTGTTGTTTGTAAATAAGAGATTTGGAGCACTCTGAGTTTACCATTTGTAATAAAGTATATAATTTTTTTATGTTTTGTTTCTGAGAATTCCGGAAAGGATATTTAAGAAAATAAAATATTGAAAAGTACCCCCCTCAAAAAAAAAACCTCTTTGCTGCATTATCTATAGATAAAATTATGTTAGATTTCAACAGAGTTGCAAGGGTTGAGTGTCAATTATGGCAGTGCCTCATGCTATCATGCAGTAAGAACTCTATTCTCCCTTAGGCTTTAGAAATAAATGCATCTGATGTTATAAGGTTATCCACCTCCCTTCCCCAGTTAACTGCACTGAATGCTTGGCATAAGATAGTATGGTGTTTCAGAAGGCTGGAGGGGGGAGGGGCAGTGGTGAGGGGCAGTCTGCTGGGGAATCAAACACTTCAAAGTTTTGGATTGTATCAAGTGGCATGTGCTGTGACCATTTGTAATGTTAGTAGAGATTTAACAGTAGCTGCTTATTCTCAAAGCAGGGACTCATGGCAAGTTTCACAAAAGATGTATCCTTCCAATTTGGAATTTTCACTTTGACAATTCTTAGATAAAAATGATGACCTTTGCTTATGAATATAACAGCATTCTTGTTACAATAAATGTATTCAAACATGAAAAACAAATCTTGAATTCCTTTCCCTTTACTTCTCTTTCTTTCCCAAGCTGTATACTGAAGCTTTTCAGTTTCTGGGGCTAACATTACCACACTCTGGATTTTCACAGTAATTAAGAAGCAAATAATTTATGAAGAGTCGAACTAGAACGTTCTCCCAATATCTATCTATGTATCTATCTGTCTGTCTGTATGTCTGTCCATATCTATGTCCCCTCTTCCACCTCTAAATTAGATGACCTATGCCTTATGAAAATCTATATTTATTTCTAAAATAATCTGGCTTAAGTAATTATTATAGAATCAGTCTGGGAAGATGCCAATCTGGAAAAGATTCACAGGAGAAACCATGAACACCAGCACAACAATTACATGTGTAAATCAAACCTCAGCTGGGGAAATGGCAAACTTCCATCTACAAATACAACTTAGATCAACAAGCAGTACTCAATAGGGGAAACAATTTTTGCTTGGTTGATGTTTCATCCCAAGAGCTACTGTGATTATCAAGCAGCAAAAGCAATTTGATATCCAGGAATACTTCCCAAGCCACTAATTGAGGCAAGGTTGTTTGCTCATTAGCAGTGCTCTAGCACCCAACAGGTCCAAGAGTGCTAATATCCTGCCTGTGGCTGTAAACCCAAGTGCACAAAGGGTTTCTCCTTAGGAGTGCAAGAGATTGGACAGCCTTGTTAGGTATCAGATGCACTCTGTTGTAATAACACTTCTTGAACAAAGGGTTACTGGGAGCAGAGCCCAGTTTGCCAAACAGTGAATTTGCTGATGTCAGCAATCCGGGAAGGTGAGTTGATTTTGACCATATGTAGAAATAAGTCAGCAGAGGGACAATAAAGCATTTTAGGGTGGGGCTCTGTGGAAGCTAAACAAGAGCCAACTAGAAAAAATAAGCAGGCTGGAGAATTAATTACCTGGAAAGGTACACTAAGCCCAGACAACAGAGTTGCACAGAAAAGCCATACTACTCCCCAGTTTGCATCCAATGCCTAAAAAAGAAAAAGGAAGAAATAAAATATGATATTTAGGTTTATCCTTATACTTGAATCTTTGACCTAACATTCTAAATGCATATATCTAAAATTCTAACCTAGAGGGGTGGAAATATAAATAATTGAAGTAGGGAAGAGATTATAATATCCTATAAACTTTGGGAACAAAATCAATTATTTACTTATAGACTCAATGCTTAATCTATTATGTACTAATGAGTTATTCATCTTAAATAACACTCAGAGTTAGGATGAGGCTCACAGCATGTAACATTATTAATCCTCTTTCAATTTGTTGTATATGGTCATATAATAATTCAATCATGGATTCTTTTTTATGTGTTTGCCTGTGCTGGGGTTTGAACTCAGGGCCTCACACTTTCTTGGCTCTTTTTTGCTCAAGGCTGATGCTCTACCTCTTGAGCCACATCTCTACTTTTTTACCTTGATCCTCAGATCTCAGCCTCCTGAGTAGCTAGGATTACTAGTGTGAGCCACCAGTGCCCAACTCCATTATGGATGCTTTAACTCTTGGGACAGAGGTTTCATGGAAAGAGATAGTGGCTTTGTGTATGTGTGTGTGTGCCAGACCTGGGACTTGAACTGTCCCGAGCTTTTGTACCCAAGGTAACACCACCTCTTGAGCCATAGTTCCACTTCTGGCTTTTTTTTCCCCTGGTGGTTAGTTGGAGATATGAATCTCGTGGACTTTCCTGCCCAGGATGTCTTTGAATCACAATCCTCAGATCTCAGCCTCCTGAATGACTTTTATTTGACCTTCCCAGAGCTCTATGACTAGAGATGTTTAATAAGCCTTGAACTTAATGGCTACATGTTTATAATAACTATACTTTTGTATAAATCTGAATCCCATGACCTTTGACTCTTCTAAGCTCCTGCTTACATCCCTCTGCCTGGACCATCTTTCCTTTTGCTTCAAATGATGGATTTTACCCATTCTTTAAGGCTTGATTGGCATAGTACCTACTCTGAAATTTTTCCCTCTGAGCATCAAAACATTTCCTTAAAACTTCTGTGACAACACTTTAAAATTTGTGAATATGGGCTGGGACGGTGGCTCAGTGGTAGAATGCTTGCCTCACGTGCAGGAGGTTCTGGTTCGAGTCCTCAGCACCACATAAACAGAAAAAGCTGGAAGTGGTGCTGTGGCTCAAGTGGTAGAACACTAGCCTTGAGCTGAAGAGCTAAATGGCAGTGCCCAGGCCCAGACTTCAAGCCCCATGACCGACAAAAAAAATTGTGAATATTTATGCCTACTTATTTGGCTAGAACCCTGTGCTATTCATCGAAGGATCCTCACACTCCTAGTATAGTGCCTGGCACATACATAGAAGATATTCGTGAAATGAATTTTTGATAACTGAGCAAGTGAACTTAAATTCTCCTCCAACATAATTGCAAAAAATATACATATACTTTATCCATTTTTTAGTGTACAATTCCAGATGACTTGAACACACATGCACACACACATACCTCTCAAAGTTACACCTGGCCAATCACCAAAGTTTTCCACCTAGTTCTCTATGAGCATTCTTCAAGGAATTAAGCTGTTAACACATTCATAAGTCACACATAGCATCCCTTTCTGCCTCCACTAATGCAAATGAGCATCTTATATAAAATGAGTCTGCCTGAAACATTAGGCTTGGAGGTGGAGATGGGGAAGGATAACATGAATGTCGTTCAGTAGGCACACAAAAAATGTAGCTCCAGATGTGACTGTTAAAAACAACCAGCTTCCTTGTTAATGACAAAGGCGCTTTCTGTTTGTATATGTATATATGTATTTCAGAAGTCTAGATGTTTATACTAAAGGTTTGCTTGCTGACACAGAGTTCATATTAAACCATCTGTTATGTATATTCTTTTATAGTTAGAGAAGAAGTACATTAGTTAACACCAAGGGGGAAAACAACACTTTCCAGCTCACCATAGTTCTGGCCTCCACCACTCACTTCCACATGAGCCAAGCAAGGTCTCATGGAAGAGGGGAAGAGGATCAAATGCTGAAACTGACGCTGAAGCGAGGTGTTCTTTCCTCAATCTGGAAAACAGATTTAATTTGGTTTGGGGCTTGTGGACATCCCCAAAGAGGGTATTTCCCTGGGTCTCTTCAAGGCCCTCTGCGAGGTTATAGGGATGCAATGATGAGCAAAACATCATCTCTATACACAAGGAACTCACAGTCTTGCGTGAGAGAGTATGGAGAGGAGGCAGACACTCATCTATTGGTAAACAACACATGCTATTAGAAAGAGGTGCTAGGTGAGGGGAGAAAAGGCCATTAAAAGGAAAAAGTCCGTAGGAAAGAGTGGTATTTGAGCTGATCCAATAGAACTCTCCAGGCAGAAATGAATGGGACAGAGATGGTTGCTAGGCATAGATGCATTGGGGGAAAAAAGAATATTTATGGTTTTGTAAGCTGCCTGGAGAGGCTGGGAAGGTATGAGGAGGAAAATAGAAATGATGATGCAGTGCTGAGGCTCAGGTTGTACAGTGACATCTATTCATCTCTTATTTTATTGGTGATGGAGAAATGCAGAGAGACTCAAAGAAGAGCAGGAACACTGACACTCAATTTAGGAAGGATGCATACTGCAATGACAGGTGAGAAGAAGGCTTTATAAAGGGAGTAATAACAGAAAAGAGATTTGGATTCAACTTAGGATGCCTATGTCTTAAAAGTAGTCCTAAAGTTTGGGGAGAAATGGAAAAAAGATAACTTGCTCCAAACTATACCATACTGCATTTCTTCTCATATGACTTTCTGGAAAATTAGGCCTAAATAAGAATATAGGGAAACTCATTTTCCACCTATGCTACATGTCACACACTTAGGTTTTCCTCTCCCTTGTGTCAATTTGACATTCTGAAGGAAAACCATCTTATAATTTCAGTGTCAGGAAGCTCAAATAGACAGATGTGAAAAGTAGCTCTATAACTGGCTAGACCAGGCCTCTCAGAGGGTGAGAGTTCATAATTGGTCCTGTAAGACCCAAATCTGATTTTGTCTAGTCATCCAGAATGCATTAAGCCCAGTTAGATTCATTAACCTAGACTATACCAATTCTGATATGGATGTTTTTTAATTAATGTTGGTGGAATTGAGTAATAACACTTATCTTCTCTAATAAATAATAGTAAGTGTCTGTTTTGTGCCATGTATTAATAAAACAATCAAGAGTGAAATTGACAGGAGACCCTCATAGAGTGTATCATATAGAAAGAGAGCTAGCAAATAAAAAAAACAAAGTGTATGATTGCACACTGAGAAGTGCAACATTGAACTGGACAGTAGCAGATATATAATCTAAACAGCGTGAGGAGAAAAGAAGGCTTTCCAGGGGGAACTACTTGTGCTGAAGATTCTTGGGGGGACTAAGTGTTCAGGTAGACAGCATGAGAGGAGGGACAGGGAATCTCAAGTAGAGGTCAACTTGGGAAAGACTGGTTAGGACCAGCAGACTCATTCTAAGAGGAATGTTAAGAACAATGAGATTTGTACTCACCAATTTAAAAAAAAGTTCTGTTAGACTGTATTTTCACTACTATTCTGGGTACTTGCTAATAGTAGGTATGTTTTACAGTAGAGGAAGCCAAGGCTCCCAGTAAAGTTTAAGTGCCTCTGTTGAGATCACACATCCAATAACTGGTGGGACCATGATTCAGCAGCCACCAGACAACCAGCAACCATACTCTTTTGCTATATTGTTCCAGGAACCAGATACCCTGATGACCTTGGCTCTCTCACCCAGAACATGCCTTTCCTCTACTTGTACATCTAGGACCCTGAGGAACTGAATTAGTCATCAGAAGGTCCTTTGATGTACACAGCATCTGAGCAAAGGTAATCAGATATTCTCCAGGGATATCTGGTCCACGCTGCAGCAATGTCTAATGAACTC